ACCTCCAACTCCTGGGCTCAAGCGAGTCTCTTGCCTCCGCCTCCCAAGTAGCTGGGACCACAGGCGCCCGCCACAACGCCCGGCTATTTTTGGTTGCAGCCGTCATTGTTGTTTGGCGGGTCCGGGCTGGGGATTCAAACCCTCCACCTTAGGTGTACATGGCTGGTGCCTTAGCCGGTTGAGCTATAGGTGCCGAGCCATGGAAGACCCTTCTTGAGCCTGGGAGAAGTTCCTCCTAGTCTAGGCAAGGGGGATTTGAAAGTTGCTCCACTTTTAGCTGCAGCCTCATTGGTTTTACTATTTTTCAGGAATAAAAAATATAGATTAAATATAGCAAGAAGTTCTAGTTTCTAAACTTTCATCCTACCTAAATGCTACCTTTCCTGTTCTTTACCCTCCCTCCTCTAAAGCCACTTGCCATTCATGTATTCAAGTCCAGAGCAACCTTCAAAGGCTAGCAAAGGACAGAACCTCAATGGAAAGGTCAGGGCAGGAGAGATTTCATATATTTAGAGCTCAGCACTTCCAAGTTCGGTGACTTCCACAGTTTTACCTTTGATTCTCTTCCTTCTGTTAGGGACCCCATTCCAGTACAAAAAGAATGGTCTAGACTAAAAAGATATGATCATATACTCTTGGAGGCAACCACTTCGTCAAATGAATATAACATATATAACTCTACTATTATTAGATTGATAAAGCTGAGTGTTTGGCATTACTTGCAAAGGGATCTAGCATAACCTGGGCCTATATTCCAAAGGTATCCATTACTACAAGTTAATTTTTAAGAAGGAAGGCTAATAGAAACTAATAAAAAATACATATCTATTACATAGGAACTGACTATTCTCTGACGGTTTTAGATTTTAGCTTTGTCTTCTTAACCGAGTCTTTGGATGTTCACGTTATATTGAAGTAACCTCTGTCATCCATTGATAAACACGGTTGATGTAGCAGCTCTGACTGCTTGTGGGAATCCTCTTCCTTCCCTGTCTCAAGTGTATCCCCCTCCAAGTAGCAAAATGAGATGCTTAAGGGTGTCACTCAAATTCAATAGTTCTTCAGTACCCTCCTAAAGCGTCTAGCATAGTGCTAGTAAGTCTATAAAATGTTTTTTAAATGTCTCTCAAAGCAGGAACTTGCATGTATATATTGGGGGTGGTGGTGGTAAAATATCTCTACTTCTTAAAAAAAAAAAAAGCCTTGACCTACTTGAACGCGATGATGTTAGGGTGCTTCAACTTCCTCAAATGCTTGATATCCGTCTCATTCTGTTCTCTCACTTTCTTGATGGCCACCTCTTCTGCTCGGAATTTGCCCAAGAAGACAGCTCCCTGGGCTCCACTACCCAGCCACTGCAGCTCTGAGATCTCCTCAAATGGCACTTCCCAAGTATCTAGGCACACAAGCAAGAAATAAGCTTGAAGAGATCTTGGAATTTGCTCAAGGACCTTTCTGAAGGTACCAACTTCACCATCATCCAGAATGACCTCTACCCTCTGTCTCCCACCAAAAGATACAACCTTTCTATGCATCTTGATACTATAGATCAAATATTCATACGTATAGGTTATGTAGATGTTTAACCACTGCAATCAAGCAGATCAGCTATCTCCAATATCCTGTCCTCTAAAACATATCCTGACACGCCTGTAGCCCTACCCCCTTACCTTAAGCTTGCATGTTCAGTGCACCTATCTGCCTCTTCCCCATCACCTGTAATAGGTGTTGTTATGTTTCTCTCTGAATGTCTATTGCAGATGCTCAGTGGGTCCTTGCTGAATAATTTTTAATGTTACTCTCTTCAGAACCTAATAATGCATGACATTTACATTAGTATTTACCATTTATAGAGTGCTTACTGTATACTAGACACTAGCTAGTGCTTTGTATATATGATATGTTTGATCCTCACAACAATCCTACAAGTCTGGACTTATTATAGTTATTCAAAGAAAAACAAACTAGGGTTTGTTTATGGGGTTGTTAAATAAATTATCCAAAATCATATAGTTGGTAAGTGGCAGAACTGAGCCCAGAACCCCAGAACTGGCAGATTCCAAGAGAAGTGCTTTCTTCACTATACCACATGCCTCCACGAGGTAACTAGAGGGCCAGTAGTCAATAGTCGTGATCTGTTTACTCATATAGCTGCATTATTTTCAATTTTCTCTTTTTCCTCAGAGTTTGGTGCTTTTGGCACCACAAATTTAACAGGGGTCATTTCTAGGTGGTGGTGTAATTAGTGATTCATATTATGTTTCTTTATCCTTTTCTGTATTAAAAAAATTTTTTTAACCATAATTCTGCATCACTTTTACAATGAATAAAATGCTATTTTACATAAAGCACTTTAACAATCCAATCAATATTTGCTTTAACCTCATGAAACTTTAAAAAAAGAATCATCGGTCCCTCTCTTTGTCCCCCTTCTTACCAGGGCATTATCAAAGAGCCCTACAGAGAGAGGAGGAGAATGACAATGTTAAAGGCCATGACAGATTCTCTTGAGATTGCTAAAAGGCCACTGTCTGCAGAACGTGGAACAAAGTAGTATTGAGTTAGCTTTGAAGACATTCTGTTCGTGGAAGCAGGTAACTCACTCTCTACCACACTGATGAAGCAAGAGCAGAAAGAATCCATCAGGATCTGTAAAGTGAGCTGCATTTCCCTCTTCTCTAATTTCCTCTACTTTAAGAGATAAGAAATTCTTCAGATTCTTAATAAAATGCATTTTCTCATCACAGTGGCTAAAACTTGATCTTCAAAATATAACTATGTAGAGCAGAAAAAAATTCTAGTGAGAGTGGTTTATAGCAAGGGCATTTAGCTCGTTCTCCTGATATGACTGTATTGAAGGTTTCCACTCTACTGAAAAGGAATAAGAATAAATCTCTCTAAAATACAAATAGTTCACAATACAAAATCACTAAAGGAACAAACGACATCATGGGAGATTTGGAAGGAAATAGCAATGGAGAGCCTTGACTATTTCATTTACTTATTACTTATTTACTTATATTTTAGAGACGGGTCTCACTCTGTTGTCCATGCTGGAATACAGTGGCATGATCATAGGCCCCTGTAGCCTGGAAATCCTGGGCTCAAGTGACCCTCCTGTCTCAGCCTCCTGAGGAACTGGGACTACAGGCATGCACCATTACACCTGGCTAATTATTTTCATTTTTTTTAGAGACAGAGTCTTGCTTTGTTGCCCAGGCTGGTCTTGAACTTCTGGCCTCAAGCAATCCTCCCACCTCAGCCTACTGAGTCACTGGGATTACAGGTGTGAATCACTACGCTTGGCAGCCTTTACTATGTTAAGTATCTGCAGGGCTTCTAGGACATATTAAGTGGCTCATGGAATCTCACTTTCATCCCCACAGGCTTATTCACACAGTACACATGATACGAGGATAGTGATGGCATATTAGAAGACAATTTTCCTCATTCCGGGTCCAGTGAAGAATTTAAACCAATGTCATTTATTCTAGGGGCTGAATAAAGTAGTATTACTGGATTCTGGGGCAAGAATATAACTGGTCAATGTATTTTTGAGCAATTTTATATAAGCCCAAATTACCCTAATTTTTAATACAATAGTTACTAAAATTAGACCAATGTTTGGATGTCTTTTTTCCTTACTTACTTAATCTATATTTACTGTTGGACATAAGAAATTTTTTTTTTTTGTTGTTTTTTTTTTTTTTTGAGACGGAGCCTCAAGCTATCCCCCTGGGTAGAGTGCTATGGCATCACGCTCACAGCAACCGCCAACTCCTGGGCTCAAGCGAAGTCTCCTGCCTCAGCCTCCCAAGTAGCTGGGACTACAGGCACCCGCCACAGCGCCTGGCCATTTTTTGGTTGCAGCCATCACTGTTGTTTGGTGGGCAGGGCTGGATTCGAACCCGCCACCTTAGGTGTATGTGGCTGGCGCCTTAGCTGCTTGAGCCACAGGCGCCGAGCCTGGACATAAGAAATTTTTAAAAAGTAAGAAAAATCAGAAAAACATTTTATTTGAAATCCCATCCCATACACTCTGTCATCTTCCTATTAGTTTCTGTTGATGTTTGTAGCTATATAAAAGCTGTATGTGATGTATAATTTTTCCGACTTTTGGGCGGTGCCTGTGGCTCAAAGGAGTAGGGCACTGGCCCCATATACCAGAGGTGGTGGGTTCAAACCTGACCCTGGCCAAAAACAGAAAAAAAAATTTTTTTTCCCTACTTTTTTCATGGATTTTATATAATTATAGTTTTTACTATAAGTTTTAGTATTAATATTTAGTGCACCCTTTTACCTTTTGTACTTAAGTGTCTTGCTAATTTAAATTTGATACTTTTTCTTATTTATATTTTTTCTGCACATATAATTCCTGGGCTTAAGAGTAGAAATAGTTTCCTGGCTATTGGACACATACATTGCAAATTACTACTCAAAGGATTTTGCTGGTTTTTGCTGATAGTAGCAATGTGTGAATGTATTACCACAACCATAACAATAGTAAGAATTACCATATAATTATTTTTTTAGTTCTATTTTAATAAAGTATAAAATAGTGTTTTATAAGTTTACGTTGGTTTAATTGCCACTGATGTAGAATATTTTCTCCACATTTATTTAATACTCGCATCTGCTTTGTACAAATTGTCAAAACTCCTTTGTCCATTTATTTATTAGGGTTCCTATGAACTTGAAGCTCTTTATACATTTCTGTGATGCAATTTAAAAGAATATTTTTAATAAGCTCTTCTAATTTTGTTGTTATTATTACTATAATCTGAGACAAGGTGCTGCTATCTTCTTGAAGCTGGAGTGCAGTGGTGTCATCAGTGCTGCAGCCTCTAACTCCTGGGCTCAAATGATCCTTCTCCCTCAGGTTCCCAAAGTGCTAGGATTACAGGTGTGAGCCACTGTGACCAGCTAAATTTATTATGTTTCAACAAAAATTTTAAATAGTTCATTTCCTTTGTATTATAATTTCTTCCACTGCCAAGTCTATCTTTTAAAAGTTATTTATAGTAGATTTTTAAAAATTTAACTTTTATATATCCATCTGGAGTTTATTTTGGTGTTGGGTGTGAGGACAGATGCAAATTAACTTGTTCCCATATTGCTATTTAGTGATTCCAAAATAATGTGTAAAATAATCCTTTTTTCATATTGTTTGTGACTGTAATTCACTATATTTTAGAAACAATGCCTATTACCTAGTATTTTTATAAAATGAGAAATAGATGGATTACTAAAATATAAATGACAAAGATATTTGGTGCTCAAATACCAGGTATGCAGGGTACTATAACAAAGAATAAAATTCTCCTTTACCAATCTCCACTTCATGCCTATGCTATGTTCAGCAAGGTCTTAATCATCCAAAGAAAAAGAAAGGAAATAGCACTGGTAATAAAAGAGTACAGAGTGTAAAGTAAAGTAATATCTCAAACGTGTTTCCATAAGTCTTTCTAGAAATGATTAGAAGTAAAACTGATTGATGTGAATTGAGTACTCTGCCTAGTCTCAAAGTCCTTGTCAGCATCTAGGAGGGGGCTAAGGAACAGCAAAATGGCAGGAAAAAGAAAGTTACTATTAAGGATATACAAAAATGGGGGCCTAGATAATTGGTGGGCAAACAGCTAGCCTCATGCTACTGGAGAACTAGCTAGACTAGGGTTAGCCCCAAACTTTTTACTGCTTTTATATCTGTACCATAGGTACATACATAAGCTAAGCTTTCCCCTTCTCTTTGATTCATCACTATGACTACTATCTTAATTCCAATATCCACCATGATCCCTAGGACAGAGCAAAGCCATACGCCCACCCACTTTAAGGCAGTAGTCCTCCCTTGTTTATTCTGACATGGCTATTACAATACTTGCTTTCGCAATAAAAGATTTTAGTAACTCGTAGTACCATACTAGATCTTCCCTATCAACATAGTACAGGGTAGAAGAGGGCATCCTTACCATTTAAAAACATCTAGTGAAATTTCCTCCTAGTATCAAATGTAGGGACACATCTGTTTCATGTGTTGTTCTTTGCTTGACTACAATGCAGGATTAAGGATTAGCTCCCTGATCCCACCAGCTACAAGGAAAACACCACACTTAGTTTCTGGCTAACAAATCTCTTTTATAGCCCACAGCAACACCAGCGCTTGGCAGGATATCCTGCAATCTGCTGAAGAATTAGGCACTTGCTAAACCCTTATAAGAATCTTAAGCTGATCAGGCCTGTTCCTTATTTATTTCTGAAATAAGTCTTTCTGAAAGTAACATGCTCAATTGGAACACAAATACTAGTTGGTAGAACAACAAAAAAAATTTAAGGGCTCCTTTTAACAGACCTGCAAAATATGTCTAATGCCCCTGTTTATATAAGAGTCTGAACTTCAGTGGTGCATTTGGATCCTGAGACCTCCAAATTATGAACAAAATAAGAATAAGAAAAGTGAAGATCTTAAAATCCAAAAGTAGTTTATTAGTAGGTTTTGTATATAAGCAGAGAATGGGAAACTTAAAAAATAATAAAATAAGAATGGTTATCTCTGGATTGTGGGATGAGAAGTGATTTTTATTTTCTTCTTCGTTACTGTCTAACATAGGAATCTCCAACTTTTGTGTGACAAGGAACAATGTTAATTTCCTTTAAGTCTCGCAATCATCAAGGAGAAGGAAGGTAGAATGTGACAGGTGTTGGAGTATGTCTGAAAGAGACAGACTGGTAGATACACACACATAAAACCAGGGGCTGACAAAGAATTTCTGCATGGGGCAGGAATGGAGGATGTGGTTGGCAAATCCTGAAAAGTACCAGGAAATCCCAATGCATATATGGACAACAGGTATACAGGGAGAAGTCAGTATTTGGTTTAAGAGAATATATTTCAGAAATAGGAAAAATGGAATACATGAGAAAAGTAGTTAATGGTATCCAATGTCTACTGGTTGTTTAGAAAATCTGTCAACAGTTTTCACTAAAAGAGATCAACAGACTTTAAGAGGAGGGTCAGAGTCTAAAATTCAATTATAAAATAAATAAAACAGAATTTCACTTTTTTTTTTTTTTTTTTTTGAGACTCTGTCTTATTCTGTCATCCTGGGTAGAGTGCTGTGGCATCATAGCTTACAGAAACTTAAACTCCTGGGCTCAAGAGATCCTCTTGTGTCAGTCTCCTGAATAGCTGGGACTATAGGCACCCACCATAAGGTCCAGCTAGTGGGAATTTTGCTTTTTACACTTTTCTTTCTTTATTTGTTTTTTAGAGACAGGGTCTGGCTCTGTTGCCTAGGCTGGAGTAGAGTGACCTGATCACAGTTCACTGCCACTGTGAACTCCTGGGATCGAGTGATTCTCCTGCTTCAGCCTCCCAAGAAGCTGGGACTACAGGTTTGCAACATGACACTTGACTAATTTATATTTTGCAGAGATGGGGCTCTAGCTATGCTGTTCAGGGTGATCTCAAACTCCTGGCCTCAAGCAATCCTCCCTTCTTGGCCTCCCAAAGTGCTAGGATGACACGCATTAGACACCTTGCCTAGCCAAATATCACTTTTGGTCCATTTTTTTTTCCTTTGTAGAATTTCTTGATGAGAAAACTCACAAAAATGTCATTTATATAAGGCTCCATGATATGTTCTAAAAAACTTAAAACAACAAATCTTTTGAATCTAATTACTCCTCTTCTAGAAATTTATCCTAAGAACTAGCCAAATGTGTGCAAAAATAAAATAATAGAAAAATGTTCATGGGAGTGTGGCTTATAATCACTACAATTGCAAACAAATTAAGTTTTGAGCAATAGGATATTGCTTAAACAAATATTGGCACATTCACATAATTTTATATTAAAATGATGCTGAAGAGTTATATTTGAAATATCAAAAATATTCACAATAGGAAGTAAAAAATGTTACAAAATAGTATGACTATTTTTTTTTAAAGTATATATACACATAAGTAGGCTAACATAATACATACTGAAAACATTAATGGTGATTATTCTCAGTAGACTGAGTATCACAGATTGTTAAAAAATGTTTTTGGAACTTACCTGTATTTTCCAAATTTTATACATATACAGTAGAACCTGCATTGTTGACCTCCTCCCTACACTGACCATCTCCTTAAGTTGACTTAACATGAACCAGACATGCACCACATGTATGTATCAGTATAGCAGGCCCAGTTCCTCATGTTGACCACTTCTGTATGCTGACCAGTTTGTTACAGTTCCTTGGGTGGTCAACTTACAGAGGTTCTACTGTATTACTTTTGTTATCAAAAATAAAGCTCTTGGCTCGGCGCCTGTGACTCAAGCGGCTAAGGCGCCAGCCACATACACCTAAGGTGGCGGGTTCGAATCCTCAGCCCGGGCCCGCCAAACAACAATGATGGCTGCAACCAAAAAATGGCCAGGCGCTGTGGCGGGCGCCTGTGGTCCCAGCTACTTGGGAGGCTGAGGCAGGAGACTCGCTTGAGCCCAGGAGTTGGAGGTTGCTGTGAGCGTGATGCCATGGCACTCTACCCAGGGGGATAGCTTGAGGCTCCGTCTCAAAAAAATATATATAAAATAAAAATAAAGTTCTTTTAAAGAACATAAATGGGGTTATAAAGACCATGAGGGCTTCAAAAGCATACCACCTGAATTGGAATATATGAATATACATGTTATACCATGAAAAGTAAGTTAAAAACTTATTAGATCTAGAAATAATAATGCTTTTCAAGATCAGTTATTTTATTTGTTCCACAAAACATAAGCTTTCTATGCCTTGACTGTAAGAAAACATTTCCTTTTTACTATAACCTCAGGTAGTCCTGCAATCTACAGTGGTATTACCACGTGGCTTTTGTTTTCTAAATTAGTCTGGTGGCCAACAGACTTTATGAATGTATAGACTATTAGTAAAAACATTTTAAACAAGCAAATGCTACATGATTTATTTATAAATTATATATCTGTATAACTATATTACAGTACCAAATATATCTGGAAATGTATGAAAATAAATATGTAAATGATGAGATACAATAAACAAGAGCTTTGTTTTCTTCTTACAACATCATGGATTTTCTTGAGTATACTCTACTTTGGACACCACTGAACTGGATGACCACAAAAGATGGGCTTCGACTTAAAAAGACCCACCAAACGTGAATCTATCCCATTCAGAAGACCTGCAGGAAACTGAAGTGAGGTTTTCATCTGGCACTCGATCTTTAATATACCCATAGGCCAAAGGTTATCCAGTTCATGGTGGTGATGGTGGTGGTAATGGTGTGTTTACACAAGGAATATCTTCCAAGTCCATACTTCAGCTTACCTTGCTGCTGCAACTTGTAATCAGTGGAATATGCCTTCCCAATGATATTCCATACAGGCCTCAAGCATCCAAAGAGTCCTTCAAGAAACCCACCACTGCTACCGCCTGACCGGCTAAACTGAATCTTGATGTCTTCAGTTCCACTCATGTTCTCTCCATCCACAGTGTTGTTTTTTCCCTGAGACACAGCCATCTCTGATTCATCTTGCTCCCTTAGCTGAAGAACACTGTTCTCAAACTGGTCCCTGGAATCCTCACTCATACTTGTCAGCACTGTAGTGGTGATGGGGCTGTTCGTGCTCTCGACTAGCTCTGTTTGCCCCACCACCTTTTCCTGGTGGTCCTCATGGAGCTTGGGTGAAGGGTGGTTCCCCATAGCTGTGAGTTCATCTTGTGGTCCACTGAAAACTCTGCGTTCACTCAAGGGTAAGTGTGGAGAAGGGGAGGAGCTCAGGTGCTCCTGAGGGTTGGCCATCGTGCCATGAGTGTGACCAAGGTCCTGAGATGACACTCAGAGGATCATTAGAAGGGAGTTCTGATGCAAGAGAGGGCTCCAAAACCTGAGGGAAACAGGAGAAACACATGAGATCGCCCTTTCTTTAGTATCTACCCTACTACTCCATTCCGTTTAATAGTAAAACAATGGGGGTTGGTGAAACTGTGGTTTATTCCACATGATGGAAATGTGTGTAGTAATGAAAAATTATGCCATAGAAGAGTAGGTAACAAGACAGATTCCTGAGATGCAAAGTCTGTTTTATTGTACTACACTAAATCTGAGGCAACACGACTAAGCCCCAGCTCTTTAAACTTGTTCTTTCCTTCTGACCTGTTTATCAGGACCATTGGGGGGGGGCTGTATAACCTCTACCAATAAAGATTTGCCCCAGATTGGCCAGATCATGCACAATCTTAAATTTATTTGAAGTATGTTCTTACTCAAATTTACTTTCTTTGTAAGACCTATATAATAGTCCTTTCTTCACTTTGTAGTAAGCATCTAGAACGTGCTAGAGGCCAGGTTATAAAGGTGACTTTACTCTGCAGAGAGGGCAAAAGATAGGCCAACAAAGATTGACAGTACAATGCTTATAATGAGCCAATTAAGTGCTCTGAAAGTACAGAAGACGGAGGGTTGTTTCAGGGAAAGGTGCTCAAAGGTGGTAACTTTCAATCCATTTGAAAAGTGTAGGCACTCATCAGGCAAATAAGAAAGACCCAAGTGAAAGAAAAGGGAGAATGTATTAACAGGTGTGGGGAAAATCATGAATGAGGACATGGAGGCTTGAAAAACTATGGAATGGATGAGAAGTGCAAAATGGCTGGAATGTAGATTATATGTCAGTGCATAGAGAAACACACAAATGGACAGACAGGAGCTATATTTTAAGAAGCTTCAGATGCTAGGCTAAGGTGATGGGGAGCCATATAGTTCTATATTGAGGATTATAGATAAAAATAGACCGTCCTTTCATTGAGACCCAACCATTAAGGCCCTTTCCCCCCATTTCCTTATCCTATGAATAGCTTGTGTTAGTGAACCAATGAAAATATCCTATCCTCTGAACTCTCATTCATTTACTCAAACATTTATGGAGCTTCTAGTACAAGTCATGCAATGTATTAACTAATGAATGGTACATAGGTTCTTACTCTTTAGGAATTTACAATCTGGAGGGAAAGATCATAGTCAAAGCTTATAGTCATACGGTTAGATATGCACAAAGATATTTACAAGGTACAAAGAGAGCTCAGAAAAATAAACATTAGGGTCGGCACCCATAGCTCAGTGAGTAGGGAACCGGCCACATACACTGAAGCTGGTGGGTTTGAGCATTAGCCTGGGCCTGCTAAAATAATTACAACTGCAACCAAAAA